GTATATCTGTATATGTTTGCACGCATGTATAAAAAAAATTTAATATGAGAGACACTGTAGAGACATAGAACTAGTTTTGTAATAAAAAGGGAAGAAACAAGAAAGATCACATTTAATAGTAAGATACTTATAGGGGTATCGTGGCTGTTACTATGGATATGCTTCAGTTAGATATAAACCAATGCGATGATAAATTTTACAAACCAAATGCATTCAAGGATACACACAAGTGCGATAGAAAAACATCATATGTAAGTAGGCATCATTCTATTTTATTGAATAATAATATCTATATTATGTACATAAATGTACAATATTGCAAAATATTTTTATATTTCATAATTTCAAAGCACTTTCATCAAACTAGTATAATATTACTTACGTTAATATTTTTAATAATTTTATTAATAATAAATTTTAATTACTTAATTTCTATAGTGCGTACCTATCCTTGGAAGAGGATTTGAAACAGGTGGATACAAGTGTGAATGCAAACAAGGCTTTGAATATCCATTTGAGGATTTAATTACATATTATGATGGACAATTAGTGGAAGCTGAATTTAACAATATTGTTAATGATAAAGAAACAAGGTAAATTTATTTTTTTATACTTTTTTTCTTTGTAATTGTACAAAAATTATATGTTTGTCTTAAAATTATCTACTAATAATTGTGTAACAAACGATTTATAAATTTTATAATTTTTATGATTATTATTATTGTTTATTATTATTATTGTATATGATCTATAGATATATTATTTTAGATATGATATGTTCAAGTGTCGATTGGCTGGTGCTTCGTCAATTCAAGTAAGTTCGATACTACTGTTATCAGTACTGATGATATTCTTTCTAATTCAAAGAAGAATTGAAAACGTTTTTAATATTTTATGAGATAAAATAGCTAGTGCTACAATTGCTGTATTAGCAATTGCCTTTTTTTAAGCCGTCCATTATAAATGTAAGTACTACTAAAAATATTTAGGATATCCCAAACGTATCGCACTATCTGGTAATGGCAGATTTCTGAAGTCATTTTGAGATGAAAATTCTAATACCAAAATGTTGGGTCTATAATAGTTTTTGAATTGTAAATATTAAAGTTAACGAATCATGTCGCTTAATTTATCATACATTTAACTTTTATTAACTATGCATTTTTTTTATTAAAGAAGTACATTTAATCAGAATAAGATTTTGCTAAATAGAAATTGCACTTTTAATTTTTTTGCATCTTAAATTTATTTTTTTATATTTTTTCTCTTTGTAATTGTACAAAAATTATATGTTTGTCTTAAAATTATCTACTAATAATTGTGTAACAAACGATTTATAAATTTTATAATTTTTATGATTATTATTATTGTTTATTATTATTATTGTATATGATCTATAGATATATGATCTATATTAATTAAGTAGTATTTCTTTTGAGTCTGATAGTGTATTTATCAATAGTAACAGTAACGAAAAAATTAATGAAACCGAACGGGATTCGAACTCGTTATCCTTCATTTTGATATATGAATACTTCTTTACAATTAATATTTTGTTCTGTCTATATCAAATAAAAATTAAATTAGGAACGTAATTGTGCATCGGATTTGACAAATGACTCTTGTTATGGTATACGCGAACCTTCCACTATTTAATCCTCTTTAGTTCCAATAAAATCAAGTCTGAAGGGGTTAAATACTTATTCAAAAACTAATATATCCTCGACATTTTGGTATTAGAATTTTCATCTCTAAGTGACTTCAGTATCTGGTAATAGCAGATGATGTGATAAGTTTGAAACACTATGTATATGTATGCGCGCGCGCATATACGTACATACATACACACATACACTAGGAAGTAACTATGTTACTTATAACGCCATTATTTATCATCGTTACTCTGTTATAATAACGATTTGGCAATGATTTTTTATGATTGCACAGTAACATTACGGTTAGGAAATCATTCGACCGTTACTTGTAATGAATTGGAAAAGTCACTCACTTTACTGAAAGAATTAACTTGACATTTGTAACTCGTTACTTTTTAATTGTTATTTGTAATAAATAACGTTACTTGTTAAACTCAATTACTATTTTCAATTATAAATTACTATTTTCAGTAAGTAAACGTGCAATGGTGCAAATTGCTTCAAAATGACTTTTCCAACCTTAGTACAATTTCTCAGTGTTTAGTTAGTTATCATTATGTAGTCATAAGCAATTACAATATCATTATCAAATTGTTATTATAAAAAATAATGGAATAGTAACGCTTCTATTTCCTGATATACACAAACATAGTAAGATCCAAAAATTTCTGGTCTAAAATAGAAGAAATATTGAAAAGAAAAAAGCAGCGATTATTGTTTTTTATTCTAGTTTCCCTTTTAAGTTCAATACATCTGGTACATAAGTTTGGAAGTATCTCCATGTTCTTAAAAAACCAATTTTTATTCTCAGTCTCAAAATATGCCTCAATGACTATCTGAAGCTTTTCGTTGGTGTGAAATCTGCAAATGAAGAAATGTAGGTTCCAGGTGAAAGAAATTTTTCACCTACCCTATAGTCCAGATTTGGTTCCAAGCGATTACTAACTATTTGCTAAATTGAAATTAGACTTGCAAGAGAGGAGATTTCACATCGACGAAGATCTTTAAGCAGCCGTTGAGACCTATTTTGAGACTAAGGATAACATATATTAATTATTTTTTTAAGGACATGAAGATGCTTCCAAAAAGGTATACCGAGTGTATTGAACTTAAAGATTATATTGAAAAATAATAATCACCGTTTTCTCCGTTAAAATTTTTTCTTTTCTTCTATATCGAGTTAGAAACATTTAGACCTTACTCTACATACGCACGCACGCACGCACGCACGCACACACACACACACACACACACACACACACACACACACACACACACACACACACACACACACACACAAGGTGTGACTGACTTACGAGATCATCTCTCGTGAACAGATAGAGCGGACTAAACTGAGTCGAAAAGTTGTGTACCATTTTGCAATTTTCGCAATACTTTAGGAGATATTAATTTCTAAAGATCACTGAATAAGTGCAGGGTGTGTCACCAAAATTCGGACAAATTTCAATTTAATTTTTTTTTTTTTTTCCGCTATATTGTACCTCCGCGAAGTTGTGTGTCGGCGTCCGAGAAAGCCTGATGCTTCTAGTAAACAGTCATATTCTCAAAATGGCCGCGATGTTGAAACCAAATGTGGAGTATAATCGAAAAGCCATGATCATCAAAGGCCTTCGCGCTGGGCACTCAGCAACGGAAATAATTCGGTTCTTTTGATACTCGAGATCAACCGTTTATGACGTTGTGGCCAAATATACAGCTTTAGAACAATCCAATGAAGGTTCCAGTATACCAGCGAGGAAGAGTCATTCGAAAGAGTCGCACCGCGAGGATCCCCGTCGTCGAAAGGGTTCAAGCGCTGATTTCGGATGACCTAGAGCAATCGTTGCGAAAATTAGCATCGATCGTTGGTGTAAGCGAGCCAACAATGTGTCGAATTGCAAGGTTCGAGAAGGATACAAATTGTACACATTAAAGATACGACAGATGTTCTCTGAGGCTGCCAGAACAAGCCGAGTTGCTCGCTGCAATCTGCTATCGTGTTCTTTGAAAAACGAAGCATCGGGATGAATCAGGTTCTTTTCTGACGAAAAAATTTGTATTGTTGATGCGAAAATCAACCGAACGAATGATCGATGGCTTGCCTACAACGAGGGTGTCCCTGTTGTTGCCAGAATGAAATTTCCGGTCAATGTTCACGTGCTAAGTGTTGTGTCCAGTGAGGATAATGTCATGCCACCACATTTCTTTAAAAAAGAGGAAATTGTCACAAAAAAAGTGTATTTGCGCGTTCTGATGGATGTAGTGGATGAAAACTGTGGCGTCCGGAAAGCCATATGTTTTTCAGCAGGACGATGCACCGGCTCGTACGAGTCATTTGATTCAAAATTGGCTCTCAGAGAACGTCAATATGTTTTGATCCAAGGAATTCTGGCCTCCCAACAGCCCAGATTTAAATCTCTTAGAGCACTACGTATGGAGCGTAGTTGAAAGGGTCACAAACAAGTCGGCTTCCCAATGTGACGTCATTAAGGATCGCTATTGAGGCAGCATTCGTCGGCATGGACAGCGCTACATTACAGCGTGTGCGAACGCTTCAGACCGAGAATAGAGGCAGTCATTCAAACTAATGGGGGATATATCGAATAATTGTGCTCAACAGGAATTCCCCAAGTGCCATGTAAAAAAATTTTTTGTAATATTTAATTTTTCATTAAAAACATTTTATTTAAAGAAATTGTTCGATTTGTTCGAATTTTGGTGACGAATCCTGTATATATCCGCGCGGACTAATGCCAAGTATACGCCCATCTGTCGCGGTTGCTTGTTACGCGAGGAATGCTTAATAAATTTTCCAATTGAGTTATGGCTCTTAGTGTACGCTTATCAGACAATCCCCCCGTAAAGGATTTTTCGACAGTTCAATCCGTTCTATCTGCTCACGAGAGGTGAGAGGTGATCCCTTAGGTTGGAGACACTCCATATAAGGGTATATAAGGGTGTCCCAAAATAATCATCAAATATGGGCAGATAGAGCGGACTAAACTGAGTCGAAAATCTTCTATCATTTTGCAATTTTTGCAATAGTTAACGAGATATTAATTACTAAAAATTGTCGAAAATTGGTCTTCAATAATTTTTTACTCAAATACTACCAACTTTATAAAAAAAACTACAAGAAAAAAAAATTATTTATTTTCTTTTCATAGTTCTAAAAATTTTTAAAAAATTTTTTTATCAACTTTCTAGTACTGCATTTTCTTATTTTTATTAACATGAGAAATACGTATTACAAAATTCTGAAAAAATTATGAAAAAATTCTTAGAGTTCTATGAGAAGAAAATAAACAATTTTTATCTGTTGCAGTTTTTCTGTAAAGTTGATATTATTTGAGTAAAAAATTATTAAAGATCAATTTTCGACAATTTTTAGTAATTAGTATCTTGTTAACTATCTTGTGAAAATTGCAAAATGGTAGAGGACTTTTCGACTCAGTTTAATTCGCTCTATCTGCCCATGAAATATTTGGCGATTATTTTGAGACACCCTGTACATATATATATATATATATACATACACACACATACATATATATACATACATACATATATATACACATATACGTATGTATATATATATATATATACATACATACATACATATTATACATACATACATACATACATACATA